TGACAGATACAGTAAATGGGATATACAGTATAGTGTGGTGAAAAAGTAAGTACAACCCTTAAAGATTTAAAAGTTTAACATACGTAGACATATTTGACCTTCAACTGCAGTAGTCCTCACCAAATTTTAATAGTAAAATTAAACATTTGAGGCTGTAGTTTTTCAAAAATAAATAAAGACAAAGTAGAATATTTGTGTATTATAATTATCAAATGGGGTTAGTTTTACCTATTAATAGGGCTTAGTGAGGACTAGGTGAATGTCAAATATGTTAAACCATAAAATATTAAAGGACTGTCCCATCAAACTACACATGGTCAATGGCTCATTATTGTTCACATAACAGTGAAGACCACAAAAGATACACAATACCATAGTCGTGGTTCTCTTACTTGTTATTAAATAAGAATTTTGAGTAGACTAAGGAGTTTTGGAAAATGAAAGTAGAGGTCAAGACAATGATTAGATTGAAAACCCAACAAAAGCATGTCCCCTTTAACGGAATCACATTCACCGTGCCTTTTCATAAAAGAGCAAAATGAAACAGAAATTCTTTATATACAGTATCCCTAAAAGATACTCCCTCACAGCCTCTAGGTCTGCCAAGAGAATGTGAGCTGTTGAAAATCCCCTTGTGACTTTACCATGATCATCATGAGCTCCCTCACAATGGTAGGCTTTGAGATTTTGCAAGGCTGAACAACAAAGATACATATAACATCATCTAATGGAATTCACAGTGCATTTTCTAGATAGGTTAGGATAAATCACAGAAAACAAAATTGCATAACATCTTTCCACTTTCTAACCACTTTAGCTTTTTATCTTTTTTCAAGCGAATCCTAATAGTAACAATGAAGAAAACAATAGTAATAGCCCTAACAGATTCACCCTATGTTTCACACTTCACACTGTGTTTGCAGGATTATGGGGGAGCCAGAACTCATCCCAGCAAGCAACAGGCACAAGACAGGATACCCCCGGATGGGAATTTTAAATTATATTTCTAAAGGAAGACTACACCAACAATGAGGCTGTTGTGATATGAGATCACATAATGTTTCCATATAATTCTGTTATTGGATGAACAAGAATAAAAGAAAGGGTATAAAAAAAGCATGGAACTATCCATCTCATTTTTTTCTAGCGAGCATTTATCCAGCTTCTTGACACATAAATATTCGTTATTTGAACCCTAAACAAAAGTATTATCAGTCATGCAATAGCAATAGTCATGCAATAGAACATTGAAAAAAGTTACTGTACCAATGCAAGGAGTCCATTTGGTATATTGTCACATGTAGCTCCTAAGCAACTTTCCACCTAAATATACTGTACAGTGCTTAGCCTCAATGAAACTTATAACTTATATCTGCAACCATTTAACAAAGTAATTATAGTAAAAAATGAACAATTCTTACTTGTTGCCAGTATACAGACATTTTATTGAATGGACATGACTCAGGTAAATTCATTATCCTGATTAACATTTGTCATCAACAGGGTGTCAGCTGTGAGAGTCACAGGCTAGTAGCATGTTTGGCTACTGGAGGGAGCAATACAAACTCTACATCTACATCTGTGACACATGCTTTACACCAAGTTGCAGACGCAGTATTCATTTGTAAAATTCCAGCTCTCCAATTATTTTTTATATGTACCCACCAAATTCGGAATTGCCCATTGAACAATTTTCCCGTCTCAGCTCACAGTTGCTAACCTTATAACTGCACACATCAACATTCAAAGCTATTCGTCTTTTTACACATCACATACTGCCGGAGGAGTGGTGCGTCCTTCAGTCAGCACCTCATGCCTATATACATTTGAAAAGTTGGGTTGTCCCCAAGATCTAAGAGAGGCCTCCACCAATTCCTCCCTACCATCACTAACTTTCAGGCAGCTGTGTGCTGCCACTTTGGGAATTTTGGTCACAGCAGGTTGTGGGCTTAAGCCCATGATGCATGGGTCATAGATTTGCTAGTTGAACCACTTGAAATCCCCAGCAGAAGCTGTCAGGTGGAATACTGTCACACTTCTCTCATATAACCTAGATTAGCATGTTGTCACGGATGTCCAAAGGGACTAACCGTGGAGAGGCAGGAGAGCGGAAAAAGACCCATATGCGTAGTGGCGAGACGGGAAAAAGGCCCGGGTTCGTTAGTGAAAAGAGTTCAGGAGTGCCGTATAGAAACCTGTGCACTCAGGTAGCGGACGTGGGGCGACCTGGTGCTAGGCGGGTCTCAGGACATCCGAACGTCAATGCTGAGCAAGAGCCCAGTGCAAGACCCGGAAATATATAGCCCAAGGGAAAGAGAGGGACCGGAAGGACAGCAGGCAGGAAACTAGGGACCGGACAGAGAAGGAGCGCCCTCTGGCTGCAGAGGGCGTGGCACATGTGTTTCTGAGTCCTTGTTTCCCCAGTACATCTCATAGATGGGCTGCAGATCTCACAAGATGTGTTGTTGCTGTACGAGAGCAGCATGAGGGCAAGCATTGTGGTGTTCTCTTGGAGCTGATGTGGAGCCTTAAGCTCCATGCATAAGGATGATGGAATGCACATCAGGATAATCCAACAGGACAGGAAGCAACCCTTAGAATTCCCAGGAATTACTTAAAACAGTGTCCTGGACTCAGTTTGCCATCACGCTATAAGTGTAGTTCTGTAGTGACTAGACACTCCTATACAAACCATCACACAGTTGAAAATGATTTGGTCTTAAGGGAGTGTGCTATCTCATGGTCTCCCAGATCGTACCCAATCTTTGACAGACTGTGATTGACTATAGTGTCCTTCCAAGAAATTGATGGCTTTGAACACTCCAAAGGGCATTCGATGGTGATTAGATCAGTCCAGCCTCCAAAAAATATAACTGGCACAAAGGTACTGTTTTCTTGATAAGCAGTACATGTTGATTTCCTTTTTTCCTTTTTTGATATTTTCCAAGCATGACATTCAACTGGTAAAATCACGTCATCTCCTGTGCCAAAACATCTCTCACTAACAAGGTAACTTAGTGCATATGCAAAAGTCAAAGTCACTTATGTGTACAACGGTCAGTCATAAATGCTCTATTAATTAAAACAACAGCAAAAATATTTAAGCAATATCCAAAACTTTTTTTCCCATAAAGCATACATTTTAAAGATATACTGTAAGCTAGTTTTGTTGCTTATTATATTTAGTTCCTGACCTTATCTTAGCAAAAATAATAGTAGTGCTGTGCTTGTATTAGAATGTTTACAGATAGAGCTGAGAGGGCAGACTGACTTTCCTTCTGCTTATATCAAATACCCACGCTTTTAAAGGTGTTGCACATAATATTTTTTCCAGCGCATTTGTTGCCAGGCCACACAACATCTTATCCAAAACGCAAGTTAATAAATTCTTTGTCCTTTCAAGTTAAATGGAAGTTTGGACTTATGGCCTGATAGAGTAGATGACAGCATATAATAATTGTACTAAATGCCAGTCCAGAAACTTTAAAAACATTTTTTTGTTTCTACTTTCTTAAAACAAATGCCTTAACCACAACAGTCTTTTTTTATTTTTATCAGTGACGGCTGCAAACAATTTTTCACATTATCTTGCTGATTTACCTCACACACACCTCTTAACTCTCTCAGCTCCATACAGGATTGTTTTCTTTACTGTTACTATTAGGAATCTCTTGAAAAAAAGATAAAACTGACAAATAAGTAAAACTTTCAGATGAAGGGAGCCCATCTTTCTGGCTATACATTGTAGACAGGGAGATAGATTCACACTTCACACTGTGTTTACAGCTCAGCTGTTGCAAGAGATACTCTTTTACATTTGACCTTGGTTTTCTTGTTTACTAGTCCTTCTGTTTCTTTTGGCAGACAGTTGTGAACCTTGGCAACAAACACATTTGCACAGTGTGGAATATACAGTAAATGTACTGTACATATTTTCAAAGTTCTTATATCTTAATCACAAACTGATTATGGTTACATTACACATACAGTATATGCATTTCTTTTCTTAACTTAGGTTTTGTCTTACTTCTTGCTACCTAATTCAATACCTACTGAGCTAAAATCATTTAGAGGTTCAGAGGGCTGGAGAGCCTTTGGCGTAGTTTCATTTTAAAGCAACGTGAGCACACAAATACCACAAAACCATGCATATGGAAAACAAGCAAATAACTCAGTCTGTGCCTTTAGGAAATAAATCTACAGAGATAAAAATGTGGAAAAAAAATCTACAAAAGACTGATTATTTACCAACTTCAATAAAATCATGTGTCCCTTTCCCATTTTCTAAAAGTAAGTCAAGAATCAGCAGTCATTATTTTAAAGTACATAACTGCCAACACTGTCACCATCTCCAAGCAGACTTCTGCTTTGTACATTTGGATCAGCTCTGTATTGCATGAAAAGATATTTAGAACCTACTGCTTGATACCCTCAATCTTTTCTGTGCCTGCGAAACTGAAACACATCTGAACACACTACTCATTTGAACAAACTGCTGTACATAGTTAATCTGACAATTCCACACACTTGGGCTGTCTTCCAAAACTAGAATTAACCTATGTTGTGGTAATGTGTTGGTCTGAAGAGATGACTATCAAAAGCCATAATTATTTAACACACAGTACTCCATAAAAGTTTAAAAGTCTATTTCTATATCCAAATGTAATACATTTGTTTCAATATTCAGCATATGGTTGTTATTTTGCAAATACCATTTAATTCAGCAGGCCAATCAGTAATAGACACAGCATAAAATATTGTAATATGATGTCCCTGGTTTAAAACACAATTTTTGCAACAGGGAGGAACTTATATTGCAGTGGTTTGCCACTATATCACACGATTCATTTATTTGAGTATCATTTACAATGGCATTGCTAGTAGTTATACCATTTCATACTTAAAACTGTCCAAGTTCAAAACGGCATTTGGGATATTTTACTTTTTGCTTTTTTTCTGCACATTCCTTTTGCTTTAGTATTAAACAATAAAACACTGACCCCAATCTTTCCTCCTCTTTCTTTCGTAGATCAAAGTCCCGTTGAATAACCTCCCACACATGCTTGGCTTCTTCATCTGTCAGCTTAGACAAATCCAGCTTCTTTCCCATGGTCCCAGGCATTCAGGTAACTCCAGTATTCCTGTTTTATAACTGTTAATTTGTTCTGTAAGAGGCCATAAAAGACATGTGTTAGATCATTCTAATTACTCCTGAGACTGTTGCTTATTCACCATTCTGTGTAGTACCATCAGAAGATACAACAAGATGGGTACACACCCAAACATGTATTTAAAGACCAAGTGCAATTTACTCAACATCATGGATAAATTTGATTTTTACAACAAGCACCAACTAAGAAAACCAAACAGCACAAATGTGATTTTCTTTTAGAGATCAGTTCAAATTACAGTCAGTAGCTCATTTGGAATGACTTGGTACAATTATCAAATAAAATAGGTCTTCTGCTCTACATATAATATAATTACTGTTGCAAATAAGAAATTATGATAAACTGTCTGAAGGAATGCTTGTTAGCCCAATTCGGGTACTTGTAATCTGCTTGTAATCGCAGAACATCTCAAAGTGGCACTGCTAAAAAATCCAGGTCATCCATTTTCTAATAGAGGGGTGATTTAACAGAAAGTGTAACAATACAGCAACTTAATTAATCATTAATCTTTGCAAATTAATCATTGCAAATTTTAATATCTCAACAGCCAAATTAGTCACACTTTGTATTGCCCTGTGCAATAAATAAGGGAGACCATGTGCAAAGAAAAAGCCCAATAAAAACTTGTCTGCATCGGAGGCAGCAAATCAGATGCATAGTTTGTTAAATCTTTAATCCCCTGGTTTCTGTTGTTGCAGAATCATAGGTTACATTTTATTTGCAGTGGGCTGCAGCTGCTGTTGTCAGTCAACTAGGTAAGTGCTACACTTCAGTGGTGTATGAGGCAGGTCTCCTCTTATACAGTATATAAACCACGCTTTTCAAAACCTGTTGTATAAATGCAAGTCATTCAAAAATAATAATCTGGTTATTACGATACAAAAAAATAGTCGTATTTTTTTGTATGCTCCTGTAAAGAGGTTTTTGAATTTTAACATTTTCAAAACTAGTCCTAAACACAATGTCGTCAAATTTATTCAGATGCTTGACACAATGTAACTTCAAGTTGGTTTTAGAAAATAATGCAAATGGCTATTCAGTGTTCCAGTAGTTTGGTCAGCAGTGTAACTCACCTAGCTGGGGGAAGGGCAGACTAACCATAAGAATGAGGCTGACACAGGCCCCTCCCCCTTCACTTTCATGAGGAATGAGCAAGGGAGCTGCTGGAAGGGTGAAGAAGAGGTGTCGAGAAGGGTGCAAAAGAGAAGCACAAAGGGACATTCAGGAGGCAAGCTGCAGTATATACTGTGTATGTAGGAGAGTAGAAGTGGGCGAGATTAGGAACCGACTTTCTGCCACATTTGTTAAAACAGTCCATTTGTTGCACAAATGAAAATATTATATATATATATACAACACTTTATTTAACATGTTTCCACAAACCTTTTGACCACTGTAAGATCACATAGCGATAATAAGCAAATAAAGTAGTAAACTTCAGTAAATTAACTCCTCTATGGTCACTCTTGAATGGATATCACTAATGTTTGATGTGCAGGTGTTACCTTTCAGTTACCAAAAAATAGATAACACTTTATTAAAGGGAGTGAAAACTCTTGTGTAAATCCGTCATAACGTAATACATTAATACAGTGTCAATAATCGAGTTATCCCTAGTAATGATTAATGGCACAGTTATTAGTCATATATGTACATTTCATAATTGTATAACTAATATAATTTTGTGGCTATTCATTTAATACTGGTAAAAAACTTAAAAGCTATGTTAGCAGTGTTAAATTGTGAGTAAATTAATGCTCCTGAAAAACAGTTTTTGCATTATTACTTTAAATATTATTATTTGATTTCTCATTTAGTAGTCTTTTACACAGAATTTATAGAACGTTTTAATAACCTGCTTAGATGGTGTTTGTTATGCACTGTGGACTAAACGAATTCATGACCTGCAGGTCAGGATTTACTGGAGGGACATGTTTACTCCACCCACAATAAGCAGTCAAACTTCCATCTTGTGAAGAAACCAACTATAGAGTGAAAATATTATCCCTACTGCTTATAAATTATCCATCTTTCTTTGTGTATTTATATAAACTAGTATTTGTTTTCTGAATGGGGCCTTATGTTGAAAGGCCATTACGTTTTCCCGTTACAAATGATACAAAATAAAAATAACAAAAAAAAATGAAAATATTTTGTATGAACAGTATACTATTTTAACATCAAAATTTTGATAAAATGCCAAATCCAAAGGATAATTATACTCGTCAAAAAAACATCATAAACAAAGGGATTTGTTAATAAATTTACTTTGAAATTGTGACAAAACTGCATGACATAATACGCCTACAGTAGGTTCACTATTACGTCGTGTAGTCAATGCAAAGCGCTAACTTCACGTTTACCGAAACTTTCTCCCTGTAATACAAAACCCGTGATCAATATTCCTATAATGTTATTTGAAAAAGAAAACGGCACGCCCTGTTGACTAATATTTTGATTACGAGTAAAGGTAAAACAAGGATTGGCACTTTGTGTGTGTACAATCTTGAGGGTGTGAGATATTTAAGCACCTTGGATCTCTTGAGATTAAAACGAGTTGGCTACTTACATCGACGCCTACTGTACTAGTATCGGTAAATTCCTTTATAGACCATATTCTTTTTAAAGTGCGCCCTTGCAAATCAATGACAGTTGCCTAAGTCTAACTCTAAGGCTAACAAATCGTAGTCAAGTTAAATTCAATTTACTTAAAATGCACAACATTTAAGTGAAATTATAGTAAAAACGGACAAACGAAATGGGTAGCATCAGGATACGATACAAAGTTAAAATCTAGTGCGAAGGTAAAGGGAATAATTCGCAGATATTCAAAATAGTATTTTAAATATTTTTTTTAAATATTAGACGGAATAAGACTAGGTACACTAAGCAGCACATATCCAGCAAGGACGTCAGAAGAATTAACAAGTTTGTCGAGAAAAAGAGAATATATACTGTACGACTTTTTCTCGTCATTAAAGACAGAAGAACCTGTGCATTAAGGTTGAATAAGTGGATATGGAATGCTATTAACTGTATAAAAAGATGTTAAGATGTTAAATATTTAAATTTTGTCTAAAACTCTTTTGCTATTTATCTTTTAAAGATAACTTTAAGAATCCAATTCAGCAGGGAAATTGGCTTTTGTACAATGCTTCATAATGCTCATTTGTTTTATAATGACAAAATGTTTTTGGCCAAAAAATATTCACACGTTTAAGTGTTATCATTATATATACAGTATACTAACACTATAACACTAAAATATGATCTAACATCCTCATACAAACCACGCAGTGTACAATTGCGTTGATATATTGTTATTTCAGCAAGGAAACAATAATTAACGCTACAGTTAAAAAAAAACTTTATGCAAAGGCAACAGCATCATATTAAAAGAAGCACGCCCTTTCTGAATCCGGGTGACACACCATCTTTACATCAGACCTGTTATGCAAAAGTCCTATTTGCACAAAAAGGGTGGTTTAGGATGTATCACCATCTACGTGAAAAAGAACTGTGTAGTGGTATGCCAGTAGCTAACTAATATCTTGCCATTACGTTCAGAATTGCAATATAAAATGCGCCTTACTTGTTTTATTTACTGGTATTTCTGGCAACAACAACAATTTACTTTTTATTCCAGTTGTTGACTTTTATCATTCATTTGTATGCATTTGTTGTGTACTGTTATAAGATATACTGCATTGTAAAGAAAACCTCAACCTCAGTTTTATTCTGTTTAAATTCAAACGTCAAGATATCAGCTGAGGGAAAATAAAACAGTTATTGATTTTTAAAATACATTTTCTGCATTATCGACGCAAATGTAAAGAGAAGAGCCGAAAATTAACCATTTTTTTAAAATGTTAATATTTACCTTCACCTGTACCCTGACTGTGCTGTTACGAGCTTTAATCCCTGGAGAGTTTGACAGCAAAACTGTAAAAGGGTTTAAGTAAATTAATCACATGCTAAGTTAACTAAGGGGGGTATCCAATCTCCGCCCCCTTTGCACTTTCACAACGGGTCATTTCATATCACAAGGTTAGTTAACATGGCTGTTTACGGAACATATTTATAGAAAACTAAAGACTTTTTAGCTCACGGATGCAAATAATTTGTTGTACAGGTATATCAAAATAGTACAGGACGCCCACATATTTGGTGACCTAAAACCTTTACACGATGCCAGCAAGACTCCTTTTCTGAATTCTTTATTATTTCTAAGAAAAGTTTTCTTCAGCTTTTTCCCTTTGGGAATCCCAAAAGTGTTCTGAAGACTACTGTATTTGTTACGATCCATAAGGAGTTTTGAAGAATAAAAATATTTTTCTGGAGTCCCAGAGCTACAGTATGTGGGAGATTTAATAGTTACTTGTACCAGCACTAGTACAGTACGTGTTAATCTTATTTAAGGACACAATATATTTGTATGAACATGTGTTCTCACATTAGTGTAGGTCATAAATCTAAGCTATACTAACACTTAGAGTTAACCTCTAAGTGTTTCACTGTAGTGCTAGTGTTAACCACTCAGGTAGATGTTTATAAAAGGTAATTCACAATAAAATATTTCTAAATAAATAATGTATGTGGAAAGACTATATTGTGTTTTTTCTTTATGGTTAATTATATATGTTGCTCTGATTAATGGGCGTTTTCAATAAAAGCTCAGGAGGAGGTCCAAACTTTGTCTTGACTACTTCCATTTACAGTATACATACTGTAAATATCATCATTAAATCTTGCAGGAGCTCCTGGGATCATCCCTCATAAAAAGTTAGGGCTCTGACATCCTCATCCTCACAGCCAGGTTGTCAATTCAGGCAGGCGCGTAAAACCAGCAAAGCAAACGAATTCAAATCATGCCTGGTCTGCACCATCTTAATCATGGTTTGTCCAAACTGTTGAACAGACAGAATTAGCACACTGAAGTCATAACAGACTTTAAGAGGAAGCCATGAGGAATGCAATTGTTTTAGCCCTGGTGTAAAGCAGGGAGGATTCATTGCTGAATTAGGGCACTTTCATCTTTAAGAGATCTTCTGGACGATGTCCATAGGCCATACATGTGGAAAACACTGACCTAGAAACTAACTACTTCTCAACTTTGTTTTGTTCTGACGACAGACATGAGGATTTTAAAATGCCTTTCAGCATTATGTAAAGAGCCCAATTAATTGTTCATCGGATTCCAGCAAAACAAGCTATTTGTGCTTGGGCAGTTTGAGCCAGAAGAACTTCGAACAAACAGCTTCTTTTCCATGTATCAACAACATCTTATCTACCGTCCTCTATTTTATAATTAGTTTATAAACTTAACTTAACTTTCAATGCTGTGAAAATACAGACACAGAATATTCTTTAAAGACGTGAATGAAACACTTTACTTCGACTGTTCGTGTTATGAGGAAAATCTGAGTCAATGTGCCTGTCATGTGCTCTCTGCAAGAAGTGATTCCAGTTTTTTTCTGCTGTGAAAAAGCTAATCTTCCAAATGAAAATGACATTTTCGATCTCTGCACTAGTATTTATTAAGCATGTAGTACTAGTACACAGTATGTACTGTACAGGATAGGAAAAGTAGAACTAATCTGTTAGTCAGTGGTACCAACTCTGCTCTGTGTGTTGTGCATATGAAGGATACATTATCTGGCTTTAGTTTTCCCTGTTTGGATCCTGAATTCTAAATAAGGTAAATAAGAGGTCTGATTTTCTTGCTACTCAGACTCCAAGATCAGCACTGTTCTAAATCAGCAGTAGGCGTTTAGTACAAATCTGAAGTCATTTGGTGAAAGGAGGGTGATTTTTAAAGCAAAGATCATGGTTATGCTTTTGGATGCCCCTACAGTTTGCTTGAATAGTTTTCCTTTCTAGCTCTTTCTGTGCACACACCTGTCTTGCTTCGAGAGCAATAATGCATTTAATGTTAATAAATCAGAAAACATTGGAAATTTAATAGAAAAGGGTTTCTCTACACTTATTTTACCTGGTCCCTTATCAGCACAAAATATATATGGTGACAAAAAGAGAGGGAGTAGAAATTATGGTAAAAGCTTGACAGAGTATGGTAAGGCATGATAAATACTGGGAGTCATAGTAAAGCATAGTAAATGCTTAGTATTAGCAGGTAAACCATGGAAAAGCAGTAAAACTACTATGCATATACTGTATATACTATGATAAAGCCTTTTAAGGGAGATCTCAGATCCAAGTCTTGGAGAACCTTAGTGTTGTTTGTTTTTCTTTCAAACCAAGCTCTCAGCTACTTAACTGAACCAATTGTCTTAATAACTGGAAAATAATCCATCCATCCATTTTATAACTGCTTCAACCAACACAGGGCCGCGGGGGAGCTGGAATCTAGTGGAGCAAGCAACAAGGACACACCCTTGACTGCTGTCCATTGCAGTACTGGGAAATTATATTTTTTTAAACATTTCTCAAATTAAAAGAATTGAAACTCTCCAGAACCGATGGTAGAGATCAATCAGTATTTTTTTTCTTCTGTACAGTAGGCAAAACCTTAGAAGAGCAGTATCACTATAGATTATTGAAAACATTTATTTTCAGAAAAAAGCCCTAAACATGTATTAGCAAGCAGTTTAAGGAAAATCACGTACATCTTTAAGTCATGGCAAGGAATACCCTGTAAATAATAACATTTCCCATCTGCTTCAACAGGGTAAATTACATTTTATTATTTTCTAGTTAGTTTGAATTTAACTTTGTCTACATGCAAAACATTAGCACACAAAAAAAACTTCTGTCAGGATTACCATGCCTTTGGCAGCTCAGTCTGTAATGTATAAAGAGCTTTTTGTTTGATTGCCTTTCTGCTTTATTTTTCAAGCCATGTGATGGATGTGATCTGTCACGGTTAGCAGGACATAAGAACATGAGTGTTATCAAGCGAGAGGAGGCCATTCAGCCCATCTAACCTGTTACGTTTTTAGTAACTTATTCACCTGAAGATTTTATCCAGCCATTTCCTGAAAGAAGCACAAGTATCAGCTTCAACAACATGCCTGGATAGCCTGTTTCAGGCTCCCAGAAACGTTTGTGTAAAGAAAAGGTACTCTACCACGTGAACTCACTTTTACACACATTTTCCTGTAGTTTCCATGTAAGTCCTCTGGTTCCTGTTTCACTGGTGATTCTGAAGCAGTCCATTAGGTTAACTTTGACAGTGTCTTTGAGAATGTTTTTGTCTGTTGAAGACTAAGAAGATTCAATTCTGTCAGCCTGTCAGCATCTGGTTCCTATTCTCTGGACCGATTCCATAATATCAATATCTATTTTGTGTTATAGTGGACAAAATTGCACACAATATTCTAAATAAAGTCTAACTAGTGCACTGTATTGTTTTAACTTAACATTCCTCAATTTAAGGTCTACACTTTTAAGTATAAATCCCAACATTCTGTTTGCCTTTTGCATTGCTTCCTTACAGTGTGTGAAAATGAAAACAATGTGCCTACTGTACATAGACATTGAAATCTTTCTCAAGTAGCCTTTTCTGGGGTTCCCATTAAGATGGTTGATGGATTCATTCCTATTGGCAAATCAGCTTCCATGAATTTGATGTTCTATATCCGATTTCCCCTTTCAGAAGAAGGTATATCCACCTCTGCCTTCCTTGACTTGCTCTTCTCAAACTCATCAGGTTCAGTCAAAGTGGTCATGTCAATGTCATATCTCGGGTGTTTTTGTGCCACAAATGCAGAGATGTTTTGTCGGAACAGTCTATGATGGTTCATGTCCTCTCTCATTTGCATTTTCAGTCAGAAGATTAATCCCTCTGGAAGCAGTTATCCAATTAAGTGTGATTATATAGACCAAGTTTAAGGCACATTTTGTTTCCACTCCCCCAATTTTTTTTTTAATTTCACACTCACATCAAAATCTGAACCATTATAGCTATTCCACTCTTCTGATCTATATTAAGTCACTGGTTATGAATTCAGAGTTAACATGTCACAGTAAAGCCCAAGGTTCATAATACAAAGCTGTCAATAAGCAGACAGAAAATACTTTGCATACTGTTTGTCTTGTGCTCTGCATCATAGAAGACAGCTTTTGAATTAAGCATGATCATTTATGCTGTTTTCATAAAGTATAAAATCTGTCAATATTTTAAAGCATAAAAAGAACCTTAGAAGGCAGCTCTTGTATATAACAAAATATTAACAAAATGTGCAGCAGTGTAGCCACATAAAGGAATAATAATTAGTGACCAAAAACCAGTAGTTACTGAAACCAGCAAAAAAGGAGCTTTAAACCACAGACTGAGAACCCTGGTTTACAATTAAATTCAGTGTAAATTGTGAGCATCATAAAAATAACCATTTAGATATAATGAAAATTATGGAAAATTATGGAGAAGCACTGGCAAGAAAGCAAAGGACTACATTTAATTGTAAAATGTAATCTTATTCAATTGAAGTCCTTCTCACAAAGAAATTTTGGCTATTATTGCACACATATATTTAGTCTAGAAGCAATGATTACAACAATTATCCATTACACTGTAAGAGACAAAAAAAACATTTATTATCAGGATGAAAATGCATCAAAATAGTTTTCCAGGTTCAACCTTTTGTTGGATTAGAATACAGAATCTGTGTTAGTTGGATTAGTTCTCCCCCTAGTGGTTGCAGTGGAACTGTTTTTATAGGAATATACTGTATGTTAGAGTTATAAATAAGGTCTGGTCTGAATAACACTTTATGTACAGTACTAATGTCGTATTGTATAGATTATAAGCAGTGCGGATCATTTTGAAATGGAACTGAAAATGTTTAGGCAGCAATATGTATTTTATTTGTTCCTTGTTGGATTACTTTGTGAAGGACACTGTAAAGCTTTAAAAGGGTGTTCAACTAAAAAATATATATAACTTGAGAAAAATTATTATAGAGGAAATAGAACCTTTAAATAATTTAATTAATCAGCACCGA